TGGAAGAGGTGACAGAGAGGGAGGGGATTGTAGGGGGTTGGCAGAGCCTGATCTCTCGGCCGGAGGCAGTTTTCTCCTCACCCACAGTCCATGTTCCCCTCCGGTTCCCAAACAGTCTGGTCGGTGGGAACCCAATTTCCCAAACCCCTCCCCGTTCCCAGAGGAGGGGAAATTGTTCCCGGGAATCTATTCCGCTCCCCCCTGTTGCATCCTTTCTAAAATGGGTCTCCCACAACAGCACACTGTCCCCCAGCTGAGGGTGAACCAGGGTTTGAGACACGTTTAACATGTTACACACCCCCTGCTCCTGTACTCTGTGTCCCTATTAATAAAGCCCAGGGTACTGTCTGCTTTCTTGACTGTGCTCTCTGTGCCAGTGCTCTGACAGCTTCAGTGAACCGTTTACATATACCCCCAGATTTCTCTGCCCCACTCCATCACCCTTTAGAATTGCCCCCTGTATTTTATGTTGTTTCTCTATGTTCTTGCTGACAAAGAGAATCCCTCCACTGCACTACAGTTTTTGCTCATTTCCGCATCACAGACTCCTCCAGTCCTTGGGAGCAGCAGTAGACCATTCAGCCCATCGAATCTGATCTGATCATGCCCAAACTCTCCTCTCCTGTCTTTTCTCTCTCCATCACCTTCCGGATTACAAGTCTCTCTCAGCCTTGAATTTACTGAATGTCCCAGCCCTTGACAGCCCCTCTGCGGTGAAGAATCCCACAGACTCACTCCCCTCAGACAGAAGAAATCCCTCCTCATCTCCCTCTTCAGGAGGTGACCCTTTATTCTGAGACGATGCCCCTCTCCCACACAAGGTGGGGGGAAACAACCTCTCCCATCTCCCCTGTCATGTCCCCCTGGGAATCTTGGATGTTTCAACCGGTCGCCTCTCATTCTTCTAAACCCCAATGAGTACAGGACCTGAACTATTCAACCTCTCCTCCATAAGGCAGTCCCTCCATCCCAGGGATCAGCCGAGTGAGCCTTCTCTGGCCTGCCTCCGACGTCGGTCTATCTCTGCTTGGATACGGGGCCCCAAAACTGTTTGCGGTATCCCAGCTGTGGTCTGACTAGTGTCTTGTATTGTTTTATTAAAAATCTCCCTGTTTTTAGTCCCCTTTCCCTTTGAAGTAAAGGCCAGCATTCCATTTGCCTTCCCCAGTCCCCACTGAATGTGGATGTTAGCTTCTTGTGATTCAAGGACCAGGACTCCCGGGATTCTACAAAGTCCTCACGCTTTGTAATGTTTCTGAGGGGGGTGGGGTGGAGGGGTAGGGAAGTGGAGGGGTACAGGGGAAAGAGGTAAGGACGGGCAGGATGGTATGATCGTGGGGCTGGGCATGGGATGATGGTGGGGGTGGGGGTGTGACAGTGGGGACGGTGGGCATTTGATGGTGGCGGGGGTGGGCGTGGGAGGGAAGGGAGAGGGCAGAAGGGGTCAAGGGGAGTGAGGAGGTAGGGAAGGGACAGGAAGGGACGGGGTACAGGAGGAGCAAAGGGTCACATGACACCCACAATTCCTGCACCCCCAACACCATCCACCCCCCCGCACATGCTCAGTAGCTACCCACACAAACCCCTCCCAGCCCCCCTCAACCTGGAGACCCAACAAAGGTCACGGAGGTCAAACACCACCCCCACTTGTCACATGACACCCCACCAAAGCCCCGCCCCTCACCCCCTAAAAGACATGCGCAGTAGAAAACCGGAAGTGAGACCTCTGAACCCTCTCCCTTCCCTTTCGTTCTTCATCCCCTCCCTCTTGAAATAAAACGCTTCGGAAAAAAAAGGGGAAAAAAAACCCCATCCATCCCTTCCCAAGCTCAATAATAAAAAAAAAGAGGTAAAAACCCTACATCTTGAAATGGGGGGGGGGGGGAACCACCCTCAGAAATACAATATTGTTCCCGCCACCAAACCAAATAAAATAATATTATGATCACTATTGCCTTCCCCTCCCCTTCCCCCAACGGAAACAAACCTCATGGATGCGGTTTCTTCCAGAAAAACTGCAGTCACCGAAATCCCTCGCCGGCACACGGAAAGAGGGAGGGGTTTATTGATGATTCAAATCTCACGGACCCGACCCGGCCTTTTAACTGTTTTTAACGTTTTAATTTGTGGGGTTTTTTTTTTCTTCTTTTAAAATTTTTCTCTCCCGCTGTCGGACCGAGAGCTCTCCCGCCGCCCCGGCCCGGATGGATGCACCTCCTCGCCTCCACCTCATTGGCGGCTCCACGCAGGACGTCCCGCCCCCGCCTGCCTCCGGTTGGCCGGACCGCCCGTCCGTCAGGCCGTCCCCTTCTTCTATTGGCCACCGCCGCTGTCAGTCCGGCTCTTCTCCCACCCGCCGCCCCCGGACCGGGTGACCCGCCTACCGCGGTGGATGGTGGGCTCCCCTTCGGAGGGGGGGAGGGGGCTGTCGGGAATGAGGGGTTGGCGACAGTTGGTCGCGCGGCCGCCGGACGTCCCGCCTCTCCGCTCGCTCCCATTGGAGGGCGCCCTGGCCCGTCAGGGCGCCGCGTACGCCCATTGGCTGCCACCGGCCACGGGGGCGCGCAACTGTCGGGGGTGGGGGGTAGCAGCCGGCTGCTTCCGCCGGCTTCCCGCGATCGTATTGGGCGCCGCGCACGTCTGTCGTCGCGCGCCGTCGGCCCATTGGCTCGTATGCCCGCACCCGCCCCCTCCCTGCGTCAGGTGTAGCTGCCGCCCTCCTTTATCGCGCATTGGTCAGGGCGAACACCACCTTTTCCGTCCCATTGGACCCCACAAATGACTGTCAAACGATAACGTCCACCTATTGGCTCCTTCCACCCTAACCCACAAATACGTTCCGCCCTCCTTTGTTGCCCATTGGTTAGGAGCGCCGAGGCCGCGAAGACGCGCCAATTCTGCACTGCTATTGGACCGCAGAAATGTCTATCGGCAAGCTTGCGGCATTCCATTGGTCGACGTGGATGTCGGTCAGACCGCGATCCCGCCTTCCTTTGTCGCTCATTGGTGTGGACCACGCTCCAGCCGTATTCTCCGTCTCTTCCGTCTGCCGATTGGTCCGAGCACCGTCCTTCAGCCGTTGGCTGCCTTCCATTGGTCAATGTGGCCGTCAGTCGGCAACAATGAACCGCCCCCTCACGCAGCCTTCTCGCCCCATTGGTGGAGGGCATCACGCCGCCGGATGTCCCGACTCATCCCCGCTCCCATTGGCTCGACGTCAAAGGGGTGTACCCCTCCCCACAATTAGTCCGTTCCCCTGTCGGTCATTCGCTGCCGCCCTTCCTATTGGCGGACGCCGCCGCCCGTCAGGCATGCGTCCCGGTCTCCCATTGGCCGACGGGGCCCGTCGGTCAAGACACGGGGGCGGGACCCGCGTGCGGAGGGCGGGGATTGGCTGGAGGGGAGGGGAGGAAAGCAGGGGGCGGGAACATCCGGCGGCCAGGGACAGAGACAGAGAGAGAGACACACACCTACACACAGAGACCCCCCACCCCATCCCCCCC